CCTTTTGAATCTGTAAAATGCTATATAAAGACAAAATCATCCTTTCAGTAATCAGCGTTTGTATTATTATTTTAATCACATTTTGATTCATAAACCAATTCATAAATATAAATTAATGTCTCTTGGCTTTCAATCTTGTGTGAGTTGATTTTAATTACAGTGTTTTTATCAGTTTAGTCCTTTAGTTTATAACCTTTACCTCTGTGAATTTTGTTTTTATCCCGTGTCCTTAACTTTGTTTTGTTGTACAGCACTTTGGTTGGCCTTGCTGCTGTTTTTAACTTCTTTATAAATACAATGGTATGGTATGGTATACACGTTAAAATTATGAGGGATGATAGCATTGGAAATTTCAATTATGGGCTTTTTGTTGCAGAAAAAAAAACTTGAACATTAAAATACATGGTTGATAGTAATAAAGGATAACTAGACAACTGACAAAAAACAAGGGAAAAATAAACAGAAAAAAGAACTGCAATGTATTTTTCATATTTGATAGTTTAATAAATTGCATTCATTTAAAAATGTCTCAACCCTCCTTAAACCAACAAAACCATATTCCACAGCCATATCTTGTGTTTTTAACCTTATTATTTATTTATTCTTTCATATTTCTTTAACACATCATGGTGTAATTGATATCAGTTACATTAGGTCCTAGGAAATCCCATGTCTGTATAAAGGAATTACTGGAGCCTGTTTTTAATTTCTTGGTTGATTCAGCAGAAATATTAAGGTCTTGATCAGTCAGCGTTTTTCTTACTTTCTCCCCCAACAGAACAAAAAAAACGAACCTACACAGTAAAGGGTGACTGGCATTTTCATCCACTTTTCATATGCCCCTAGGTACCAAAAAGTATGTTCTTACCTTTTACCAAGTCGTGGCATTTACCTCTCTTTATCCTCACTAAATGTGAGCTGCTCAGAGAGAGAAAAGACCAACGTCCCTTTGACAGCAGCTCTGTTCTTCTCTACCAGCAGCTGCCGCTGACAATGATCACACCCAGAAGACACAGACAGCACACCACAGGTGTTGCATGAACAAACCCTCAATAATAATAACAATTAAAACCTGAAACAACTCAATGACAAAATGAGAGTCCTATTTTTAGTTTTTTTTTTTTTTATGCAACACATGCCATCAGTGTCATTGACTTTAATTGGTCGTGGTTTTATTTTCACACCGTCTGTTTTCCTGCTGATACCGAACGCTTAATTCTTCTCACCTGATTTCCATCAGGCAATCCAGACTTTAATCTCCTGTGCAGTAACCAGATTAGAACATGTCAGGCTAAGCAAAGCGTTATCAAACCTGCTTTAGCTTTTGACTATCTTTTGTCACTTTCACAAGTGCATGTCCTTATGGCTGCTAGAGAAAGTTAAAAGGCTGAAGATAAACCCAATCAGCAGTGACAGGGAAACACATAGCATCATGGACAAACTGTATCTGATGTTCCCGGTGTTGATGGACTCACAAAAGATTCATTGCACAATT